ACTTCTGTAGTGATACTGCCTCAGAAACCCAAGGAGGGGTTGCTATGAGTCGGGGCCGACTCGACGGCACATAACAACAACAACAACAATATCACTTTTCTCCAAGTATGGGATTGTATTTTAAACACAAAAGTAAATTTAACTTGTAGAAAAAAGTTATATATGTGTCTGTGTGTGTGTATTTGTATTTCCAGATAGTTGACAAGAATCAATAAAATGAACTGAGCACTTCATATTCTCAAGGATTGGGCCAGCTGTTAATATTTATATTGGACTTTATAGTGCTCAAAGCACTATCTTACAAGCTATTAGATCCTAACCACATCTCAGTCAGGTAGGTATCATAGGTATTACTGTTCCTACTTTTATCTAACAGATGATGACATTGAGGCTAAGAAAAATTAAGTGATTTTCACCCATTTCTTATAGCTAGTGAGAAAGAATTAGGACTCAAACCTAGGTCTTTTGGTGGAAAATCCAGCACTGTTCCTCCCACTCCAGGAAGCCTCTTACCAACTCCCAATACACAGAACAGCAGTTTTTACCTTCCAACTCTTCTTTCTCATAGTGAATGTTGAGAATTGTACTGGTCCCACCCTGATCCACAACCGCTTCTTCATCGGGTCTCTGTTTAAACACAAAGAAGTAGTCATAGTAAAATGCATACATTCATTCAAACACTTAATTGAGCACCTAGTATATATCAGTCCCTTTATAAGACACTTGAGGGAAAAACACAAAATATCATTTAATTTGAACTTCACAATAACTTTAAGTGTCAAATATAACAGTGATTCTCTTTGACATTTTTAAAATGAGCAACCTGAGACTCAGAGAACATTAAATAATTATTGCCCAAGGTCACAGATGTGGTAAAAGGCAGAGCTAGGAATGAGCCCAGGTCTAGTGATTGGAGATCCTGTGCCTTTTCCACCCCAGTCCCCACACCTATGCAATATGGATAATGTGTTGGCATTTTGCAAGTACTGTCAAGAGCATTGTCTCATTTGGCATAAATTAGTTTCTTTGACATCTGTGCAGCATTTTAGCCAGTTTATCATTCTGTCCTTGAAATTCTCCATCGTGCACATGGGATCCCCTCTCCTCTGTCCCATCCCCTAAGGCTCACCTTCTCCCACCAACCAAATTTCCCAAGGAAGAGCTCTCAACCTATTTGTTATCCTCATGAGAAAATTTGAACTGCAGCCTGAAACTATGCGGCTCAGTACTGGACAAACAACTGAGATGCTGCGTCTCAAACTCCTTGTGTCTAAAACCAAGTAACCTTCCTCCCAAAACTAGCTTCCTGTGTTCATTTACTTATTCTACCAATTGCACCATTATTTCTTAGCCAATATTTGAAATTTCAAACTTATTTATCCATTCTACACTTACAGAGTGCCTACCATCTGCTTTCAGGAAGATAGTTCCCTTTTCTTATCTTGTTGTTGTTGTTAGGTGCCATCGAGTCAGCTCTGACTCACAGCAACCTTATGTACAACAGAATGAAACACTGCCTAGTCCTGTGCCAGCCTCACAATCCTTGCTATACCTGAGCCCATCATTGCAGCCACTGTGTCAATCCATCTCGTTGAGGGCCTTCCCCTTTTTCTCTGACCCTCAACTTTACCAAACATGATATCCTTCTCCAGGGAATGGTCCCTTCTGACAACATTACCAAAAAAGGTGAGATGAAGTCTGGCCATTCTCACTTCCAAGAAGCATTCTGACTGTACTTCTTCCAGGACTGATTTGTTTGTTCTTTTGGCAGTCCATGGTAGTTTTCAGTATTCTTGCCAATACCACAACTCAAAAGCATAAACTCTTCTTCAGTCTTCCTTATTCATTGTCCAGCTCTCACATGCATACGAGGCAACTGAAAATACTATGGCTTGGGTTAGATGCACCTTAGTCTTCAAGAAGACATCTTCTCTCTTCAGCCCTTGAAAGAGATCTTTTGCCGCAGATTTGCCCAGTGCAATACGTTGTCTGATGTTTTAACTGCTGCTTCCGCTGGTGTTGATTGTGCAACCAAGTAATATGAAATCTTTAACAACTTTACTCTTTTCTCCATTTATTGTGATGCTGCTTATAGGCCCAGTTGTGAGGATTTTTGTTTTCTTTATATTGAGATGTAACCCATACTACAGACTGAAATCTTTAATCTTCATCAGTAAGTGCTTCAAGTCATCCTCACTTTCATCAAGCAAAGTTGTGTCATCTGCATCCTGCAGGTTGTTAACGAATCTTCCTCCAATCCTGCTGCCTTGTTCTTCTTCCTATAGTACAGTTTCTTGGATTATTTGTTCAGTATACAGATTAAATAAGTATGGTGAAAGGATACAACCCTGACGTACTTCCTTCCTGATTTTAAACCATGCAGTTTCCCCTTGTTTTGTTAGAAAGAAAGCCTCCTGGTCTATGTACAGGGTCCTCATTAGTACAATCAAGGGTTCTGGAATTCCCATTCTTCTCAATGTTATCCATAATTTATTATGATCCAGACAATCAAATGCTTTTGCCTAGACAACAAAACATAAGTAAACATCTTTCTGGTATTCTTTGCTTTCAGCCAAGATCCATCTGACATCAGCAATGAGATCTCTCATTCCACGTCCTCTTCTGAATCCAGCTCGTATTTCTGGAATTTCTCTGTCAATACACTGCTGCAACTGTTTTTGAATTATCTTCAGCAAGATTTTATTTGTGTGTGATATTAATGATATTGTTCAATAATTTCCACATTCTGTGGGATCACCTTTCTTTGGAATGGGTACAAATAGGGATCTTTTCCAGTCAGTTGAACAGGTAGCTGTCTTCCAAATCTCTTGGCAGAGCCAAGTGAGTGCTTCTAGTGGGGCATTTGTTTGCTGAAACATCTCAATGGGTATTCCATCAATTCCTGGACCCTTATTTTTGCCAATTCCTTCAGTGCAGCTTTGATTTCTTCCTTCAGTGCCACTGGTTCTTGATCATATGCTACCTCCTGACTAGATGAACATCAACCAATTCTTTTTGGTACAGTGACTGTGTATTCCTTCCATCTTCTTTTGATGTTTCCTTCATCAGTCAATATTTTGCCCATAGAATCTTTCAGTATTTCAATTTGAGGCTTGAATTTTTTCTTCGGTTCTTTCAGCTTGAGAAATGCCAAGCATGTTCTTCCCTTTTGGTTTTCTAACTCCAAGCCTTTGCACATTTCATTATAATAACTGACTTTGTCATCTCGAGCTGCTCTTTGAAATCTTTTGTTCAGCTCTTTTATCTTGTCATTTCTTCCATTTCCTTTAGCAACTCTCCATTCAAGGGCAAGTTTCAGAGTTTCTTCTGACGTTGATTTTGGTCTTTTTCTTCCTTTCCTGTCTTTTTAATGACCTTTTGCTTTCTTCATGGATGATGTTCTTCATGTCATCCCACAATTCCTCTGGTTTTCAGTCATGGGTGTTCAATGCATCAAATCCATTTTTAGACGGTCTTTAAATTCAGGAGGGATATAATCAAGGTCATATTTGGGTTGTTGTGGACTTGTTTTAATTGTCTTCAGCTTCAACTTGAACTTGCATATGAGCAACTGATGGTCTGTTCCACAATCAGCTCCTGGCTTTGTTTTGGCTGAAGATATTGAGCTTCTCCATCACCTCTTTCCACAGATGTAGTCAACTTGATTCCTGTGTACCCCATCTGGCAAAGTTCACATGTATAGCCATCATTTGTGTTGTTGAAAAAAGGTATTTGCAATGAATAAATCATCGGTCTTGCAAAATTCTATCATGCAATCTCCAGTGTTTCTATCACCAAAGCTATATTTTCCAACAACCAGTGCTTATTCTTTGTTTCCAACTTTTGCATTCCAATTAGCAATGATAATCAACACATCTTGACTGCCTATTCAGTCAATTTCAGACTGCAGAGGTTGGTAAAAATTTTCAGTTTCCTCATCTGTGGCCTTGGTGGTTGGTTTGTAAATTTGAGTAATAGTAGTGTTAACTGCTCTTCCCAGTAGGCATATGGATATTATCCTATCACTGACAGCTTTGTGCTTCAGAATAGATCTTGAAACATTCTTTGTGACGATGAATGCCATGTCATTCCTCTTCAATTTGTCATTTCCAGCATAGTAGATCATATAGTTGTCTGATTCAGAATGGCCAAAACCAGTACATTCCAGCTCACTAATGCCTAGGATATTGATCCTTATGTGTTCCATTTAATTTTTGACAACTTCCAATTTTCCTACATTCATATTTCAATCATTCCACATGTTCTGATTATTAATGGATATTTGCTGCTGTTTCTTCTCATTTTGAGTCATGCCACATTAGCAAATGGAGGTCCTGAAAGCTTTACTCCACCCATATCATTAAGGTCGGCTCTATTCTGAGGAGGCAGATCTTCCCCAGTTGTATTTTGAGTGCCTTCCGACCTGAGGGGCTCATCTGCCGGCACTATATCAGACAATGTTTCAGGGCTATTCATAAAGTTTTCCAGTGACATATCAGTGTTTCACTGCTATTCACAAGGTTTTTACTGGCCAATTCTTTGAGAAGTGGATGGCCCCTTCCTTCTTCTGAGTCTGTCTTGGTCTGGAAGTTCTGTTGAAACCTGTTCACCACAGGTGACTCTGTTAATAGTTGAAATACCAGTAGCATAGCCTCCAGCCACGCAGCAATACACAAGCCACCACACTCTCCAGACTTCTAAATCATCATTGAAAATACCATTGAGTCATGGTGACCCCATGTGTGTCAAAAGGGAACTGCACTCCATAGGGTTTTCAAGGCTATGAACTTTTGAAGACAGATCGCCAGCACTTTCTTCCAAGGTGCCTCTGGGTGAGTTCCAAGAGTCTAGTGCTTACCTGTTTGTACCACTTAAGAGATTCCTTTAAATTATACTGAGTCTTTTTCATTTCTGGAACCATACCCACCTTCTTCCTGAAATGCTGCTCCCTCTGCCTGGAACTGCCACCCTCTCCTTGCCACCCCTCCCCATCCATCAGCTAATAATTACTCATCATCCCATAGATCTCAGCCTAAAAGTACATTTTAAAAAAAAATAATAAAAAAACCCTGTTGCTATTGAGTTTATTTCGATTCATGACAACCCCATGTGTATACAGTAGAACTACACTCCGTAGGTTTTCAAGGCTGTGACCATTTGAAGGCAGATCATCAGGCATTTCTTCCATAGCACCTCTAGTGGGGTTCCAACCACCAATCTTTCAGTTAGTAGTTGAACACTTAACCACTGTGCCACTAAGGGACTCCATATGCCTGCTTAGCACGGTACAATTCTCTTTAGTCTCTTTATGAAATGTCTCTTTATGCTCCTTGAGGGAGGGGCCATATCTGTCTTCCTCACCATTGTATTCCCAGCACCCTGTATAGCCTTTTTACATAGCAGGTGCTCATAAATCTCTGTGAAATAAATGAATATAATGGCACCTACCTATCAACACCCTCACAGCTGAACTATTTCAAAGATATATTAGCCAATGTCCCTGACAACCTATTTCCCTTCCCAAACCTGCAGCTCCAGCCTGGCTCACTGATCCCCGAGGGCACTGTGCACATTCCCACCTTCATTTCACATTGCCCAGCCACCTAACAGGACCTTTCCCCAACTTC